AAACTGTAACGTACTTCACCATTGGATCCTAAGTCTTGCATCAGTTTTATGCTTTGACTTTAAAAAATAACTGTGGATTCGTTGATGTTTTTCAGCAAAAACCAAGGAATAAGGATTGCTGTCGAATACTGGTGCGTGATCATTTTCATCCAAAACTTTAAGGATAATTTCTGCCAAAGCACTTAAAGGTGGACTTGCATCGGTTTCAGCAAGTACACCAATGACGTGTGTGTCTTTGGATTCTCTGTCTAAACTTTTTGCCAAAGTGAGTTGTCCAGTTGAGTCTATGTTGAACTGGGGATCCCTTCATCACCTGATATAATATAAAATTAGCAGTAACATTTGTGATCATTTTCAAACGCGTAACGATGGTGCCTATAAGTGACTTTCTGATAAAAAGAATTTTTCCCTCCTTTTTCTCGAACAACGGTGGGACGTCTGAAGGTGCCATCAACACATATACAGGTACATCTGAGTGCAAAGAAGGACTTCCCAAGTCTTCAGCACGTATAAAAATTGAAACATTGGTTCATAAATGGTTCGGGATCTTTGATAATACTGACGCTTCCATGCAAAGGATGCACTGCAAACAATTCTTTGACACCAGAGTTTGTGGAGTCGTAGATGGAATAACGTACTTGTCCGGCACCATCTTCGTCTTTATCAAAAGCCCGTACTTTCAAAAATGTGGAGTTAACTTGCAAATCACTTTGGATATTTGCTTTGTACTCCTTCATAACAAATTCAGGAGCGTTATCGTTCTCATCACCTACATTCACACGCAGAGTCAAAAAACCATTTCTGCACCACCACCTCTGTAGCCATAATTAAAACCTCTACATTTTCTTCAGTTCCCGGTCTAACTTAATTTTAGTTACAACATCACCAGTGATTTTGTCAATAGCAAACACTTCACGCATGGCATCTGATGGTATGGAGTACGTAATTTGACCATACTCACCAAAATCCTTGTCAGTAGCCTTAACTTTGGTGACAAGATCTACCAGCCAGTTGGTTTTCCTTGATCTGTAACACTGTATTGCACTTCTGGGAACACAGGATCATGCAAGTTGGCTGGTAGAATTGATACTTTTAGACGTGCAAACTTGTGTGCACACCATCGGTTACAGAAATATTCAGCACCATGGCTTGCTGGTCGCCAAAACGTTTGCAAGTTCACAAGTCTCAACACTCCTGTTTGGAATCCATACCAAAAGTTTGTAGTTCATTACCACGTACAATACTGTACCTCAATCTGTCCCTGTCAATTCTGTCAGGATCACTTGCCTTGACAGCAGTGACAAATTGTCCTCGACCAGCATGTTGGGATAAAATGCAGGAGTATGATGGTTTTTCGAATTTGGGAGCATTGTCGTTCATGTCTAAAACTGTGACCCAAACATGTGCAGTACTTGACAGACTTGGAGTGCCTTTATCAGTTGCCATTACTGTAAAATGATGTGTCGAATGTTGTTCATGGTCTAAAGACTTTTTGAGATAAACCACACCATCTGCAGCTTCCATGTGAAAGTACTCGCTTGCATTCCCATGATCATCACGTATGGAGTAAATAATCTCTTGGTTAACATCTGCAAAACAAAAAAACAACCATAAACATCTGCACACAACCTCTACATCATTTATCTACTTACTGGTATCATTATCCTTGGCATGTACTCTAAGAACAGCAGTTCCAAATGGATCAGCTTCAGATACTGTGACGTCATAAGAGTCTGAAGCAAATTCTGGAGGACAATCATTGACATCACTGACCAGGACACTGACAACTACATCAGCCCAGACACCAGAAACACCATCAGTTGCTCTAAGAGTCAACTCATATTGACGAGTTGTCTCGTAGTCTAATTCGTCTGCTACATAGATAGCACCTGGGGAAAATAGGATAGTGAAAAATAGTAAAAAGTTTGCATTTGGTTGGCATGCAAAAGTACAGAAACAACAGACTATTGGGAATATTAAATCCAAATTAGAGAAAATTTCTATTTTTTTGTTTTTTTTTTGGTCAAATTCCAAACGTTGTATTAGAAGTGAGTCCAGCCAAAAGTTGAAATAAATCAGAAACATGCAATTTTTTAGTGCTATTTGATAACAATTCATATACTTACATATATGATTTAAATATTATATATTATGCCCAAACAAAAATACATAGCATTCCAGATAAAACTTCAATTCAAAAAAGTGATACTTACATGAACCATTTGGCTATAAGTCAGTACTGGCGTATACAATCCTAAACTTTCAAGAATTTTTTCCAAACAATTTTGTTCCAAAAGTTCAAAAATGTTGTATACAGTTCTTTAGGCTATTTAATAAACTTTTTAATGATGTACAATTGTTTATAGGTTGTTGAATAAATTATTAACAAAATTTGGCAAAATATAAACAAACCACTCCATTGACTGTGTATAAATATGGGTAAGTCAGTACTGACGTATACAATCCTAAACTTTCAAGATTGTTTTCCAAATAATTTTGTTCCAAAAGTTTAAAAATGCTGTATACAGTTGTTTAGGCTATATAATAAACTATTTAATAATGTACAATATTGTATAGGTTGTTGAATAAATTATTAACAAAATTTGGTAAAATATAAACAAACCACTCAATTAACTGTGTATAAATATGGCTAAGTCAGTACTGGCGTATACAATCCTAAACTTTCAAGAATTTTTCCAAATTATTTTGTTCCAAAAGTTCAAATATGTTGAATACAGTTCTTTAGGCTATTTAATGAACTATTTAATGATGTACAATAGTTTATAGGTTGTTGAATAAATTATTAACAAAATTTGGCAAAATATAAACAAACCACTCAATTAACTGTGTATAAATATGGCTAAGTCAGTACTGACGTATACAATCCTAAACTTTCAAGAATTCTTTCCAAATTATTTTGTTCCAAAAGTTCAAATATGTTGAATACAGTTCTTTAGGCTATTTAATGAACTATTTAATGATGTACAATAGTTTATAGGTTGTTGAATAAATTATTAACAAAATTTGGCAAAATATAAACAAACCACTCAATTAACTGTGTATAAATATGACTAAGTCAGTACTGGCGTATACAATCCTAAACTTGATGATTGGAAATTTTATATCCAAATTAGAGAAAATTTCAATTTTTTAATTTTTTTGTCAAATTCCAAACGTTGCATTAGAAGTGAGTCCAGCCAAAAGTTGAAATAAACTAAAAGCATGCAATTTTTCAGTGGTTTTTGATAACTATTGATATATTTACAGATATGATTTAAATATTATATATCATGCATGCCCAAATAAAAATACATAGCATTCCAGATAAAATTTATATCTGATCCAAATGATACTTACAAGGACCATTCGAAGAATCTGGAGCTGCATAAAATGTAAAGAAAATTTTGTTTAGAATTTACAAAATACAATAAATATAAATTATATATATTTAATTGTCTACATGCTAAAAAGCTATAAAAATAAAATAAATAAAGCCTGCTTCCAAAATTAACTAATTTACCTAATAAATAAAAATTAACTAATTTATTGCTTAAGGGGCACAACTAGTGTAACCGCCTAAAAAAAGGTGATTTTTGGGAATTTATATTTGAAAAACTACTTTATCAATCATTTCAAAATTTTAGGAATATATTTATACATGTTTTAAGAATACATAGTAAAATTTTTGAAGAAAAAAATTAAATATTTTTTAAGTTATCGTCGATCTCCAACGGCGCGACGAAAAAGGCCTTTCACTGCTACAATGATTCCGGCCTTCTACGTGGATGAAATTAAAAAAAAAAAATCTTTAAACTAGATAATATTGTCTGTAAAAAAATCAAAAATTGACAAAACAACGGCGTTTTTAGAAAAAAAGTTGAATTTTACCCAAAATTTAGGTCGTTTTGGAACTGCCAAAATTCGATTTTTGATCCGATCAAAAAAATCAATAGTTCATTTTACGGAGAACTATATATAGAACATGTAAAAAAAATTTGATAGTGATCGGATCATTTGTTTTTGAGTAATCGCTGCAGCAAATTCGGAAAATGCTGTTTCGAGAAAAACGCGTTTAAAGATTAAATGATCGTTATACTATATACTGTATATATGTACTCTTTAAATGTCTGCGACTCAAAAACTATTTAAGATATCGATTTAAAATTTTGGTATGTTATTTTTAAAGGTATAAACTATCGAAATATGGAATAATTAAAAATTCGATTTTTTTAAAATTTCACACTAGTTGTGCCCCTTAATGAATTGATAGCAAAGCTGATGCATTTATATAAATGAACCTTCACCAAAATTGATTTATAAAAACTATAATATTCTAATTCTGATTTTTTATAAGTTGTACATTTACCAAAACCATAAACAAATTAAATTCCCACTTACCAGTATTAAAATCCAAAGCAAACTGCTCCTTCTCGTTTCCACTAACAATACTATAAATAAGTTGTCGATTCAAAGGAGAAGTAGCCCTAACACTGACAGCAATTGGAGCCCTTAATTCAGTATCTTCGGGCACCACTGCACTATAAAACTGCCTATCAAAAACTGGCATACTCCTATCAATAACCTTGACGTGGACTGATACTTCAGTTGAACAAGGAGTTGTCCCTGGGGATAAAAAACACATTTAGAAAAGGACATATGGGTAAAAGTAAGAAATAAGAAACACATTGGTAAGGACTGAATAATGGTAACATGGTTAAAGATATGGGTCATGTACCTCCGTCATATGCTCCGATGATTAGTTCGTATTCCCTGTTATGGCCTTCCAAGTTTTGTTTCAGAGTGACTTCACCAGTTTTTCTGCAAACTTTAAACAATTCACCAGGACCACGTTTCATTTCGTACCTGACCTCACCATTTTCATTGCTGTCTAAATCTATTGCTCGCACCTAAAATTGACACAAAAATTAGATGATACTGTAAACTTGTTTAGTTCATACAAGGGAATGCAATACCGATGGAAAATTTCAATACCGGTATTTCGGTAATTTTTCATTCTAAAACCAGAATTACCGGTATTTTTATTATCTCAAACAAACGTAAACCAAATTGAAAGTTACTAGTACAAATATAAAAAAATGTATATACAACTACAACTATATTCAACTAAACAATAAAATAAAACAATACGTTTATTTTTTTTAACTAATAATTTAACAAAAGTATATCCAATTTAATTAATTCATTATCACTATCGAGTATATTGAATATTTTGCACCAAAAACAAACTTATGAGTAAGAAAGACCAAAAAATCATAAAAGATCATATAACATTATTATAATAAACTGTATTGTCTGTATCCGATGTGTTAAATTAGCATAATCTCTAATATTTAAAAAAAAAAAATTTTTCTATACTAATTTAAGATCGGATACTTTGTCGAGATAAATAATAAGTTACTATAATTGTTGAGTATTGTTATTTAAAACAATGTGATGCTTCTATAGTATTTTCAAACTTCGAAACGTTTTCGAAAATAATATTTTATAATTATAATAAGAAGCAAACATATATAGGTTGTCAAATATCTCCCTTTCGCCTTTTTGTATTGTAAACCAAGAGCAAAAAAGCGGAAGGGAGATATTTGACAACCTAATATTTAGTAATTATCATAATTATTATGTATAAAGTTAGAAAAAATAAAGATTACGCAGGAGTAATCTGTATGATATAAAATATTTTGGTGCAAATATCACTTAAAAAACTGTTACAGTTTTACAAAAGATGAAACAAGCATCATTAAGTCCAATTCTATTTATTGTAACACGATATGAAGCCCTTTGGAAAGCAATAAATATTCAGTTTAATGACGAGTTGAGATAATATTCGACATTTGTTTATCCTATAGAATCACTTGAAGATATAGCTGTTTATGCGATTGTGGAATTTAAAGATAAATTTGTTCCGAAAAATTTAAACTTTAGGTCATTATGTATCAAATAGCGCTTAGGTAAAAATACCAAAAATACCGGTATTTTTATTTTATTTTGTTTTATTTTATTTGTTTACCTGTGTGATTGTTCTTCCTCTTTGGTCATCAATAGAGACAACAGCATAGTATGGCAAGTTGACAAACATGGGACAATTATCATTGATGTCTAATATAGTAACGTTCACCAAAGTTCTTGTAACTCTTGTAGATTGTTCCTCTATTGATATCCTGGCTTCTATTATCAACTCATAGTGATCCTGGTTAAAAAATCAACAGTAAACTAGTTGTGTATAGCATCGTGCCTTAAGGCAAATTGCTGAAACTTCCCGTACCGTAATGAAATATTTGAGAAATTTTAAACGTTTTCAAATATATTATTATAAATACTGTAACTTTCATTATTTTTGCTGTCTTGTTATATCTGAGCAAATCAAATGTAAATCATAAATCGATTTATCTCCAGAACATTAACAATCGTTCGTCATTTCATTTCGAATTCAATTTCAAAAAAAAAAAACAGTTGCCTAAATTACACAAAATCTAAACGCATTTGCAAATAATTATGTGCGACATTTTTACTTATACTGTGCTTAGCTTGTCGGCATTTTCACATTTTTCAATAGTTTTCACAAAATTGGAAAAGTGCTCCGTACCTAAACAGTCTAAACGCACTTGCGTGAACATTTGTACCAGAGTGGCGCTTAGACTGTGCTTAGCCTAGATGATTTTTTCAATTTTTTGACACACATACACACACATCCATTTAGTTTCTGAGGTATGCCCCTTAAAATGTTCAGAAACTTTCAAAACGTCGAGAAATGCAAAGATTTTCATTTTCGATTGTCGGCCCATTAGAAAGTTTGGCCTAGAGAATTAATAAAAGGGACTTTACTAACGAGGAAACTAATATTTGATATAAATAATTTAAGAAAATGGACTACACTGGCGAGCAAATTTTGATTTCGATTTTTAATCTAAAAAGGAACTCTACTGACTTTGCTTTGATCTTAACATAAAAAAGACTCTACTGACAAAAAATGTAAGAAGCAAATTAAAATTTAAAAAAGAAACTCTACTGACGAGCAAAATTAATTTTGTACAAGAAGATTAAAAAAGAACAATACTGACGAGCAAACTATTATTTTATTTAGGAAAAGGACTCTACTGACGAGCATAGTACAATAGCAATCTTAAATATAAAAAGGGACTCGACTGGCGAGCAAAATAACTGAGCAATTTTTATTGTAAAAAGGGACTCTACTGACGAGCAAACTTTGATTTAGATTTAGAGGAGCAAAAGGGACTTTACTAATGAGCAAACTTAATTTTTCTTTTAAAGAAGGGACTCTACTGACGAGCAAACATAATTTTGATCTAAAATATCAAAAAAGGGACTCTACTGACGAGCAAATACAATTTTTCTTTTAAGAAGGGACTCTACTGACAAGCAAACTTAATTTTTATTTTAAAAAGAAACTCTACTGACGAGCAAATACAATTTTTCTTTTAAAAAGAGACTCTACTGACGAGCAACTTTGATTTTGATGTGAAAATTGAGGAGCAAACTGCAGTTGTGATTTAGTATTTAAAAAAGAGACTCTACTTAATCACACTACTCAATTACAAAAATATTTTATGGAAAATAAAAAAAGATGTAATGATTTTTTATTCTCAGAAGCAATTGTTTTGTCAATACAAGCAGAAAGTTTTTTAGATCATTCAAATCCGATACTCCGTTCTATCAAAAACTCGATTTGTATTTTTTGCACTCTTCGCTCCGTATCTCCGTAACGGCTGGACCTGCCTTTGCCAAAAACTAATCAGCACATCTCCCTATCAATAGGGATCGAATGTTTTTTAAACCATTCAAATCGGTCGATCCGTGCGCCCGAAAACGTGGACATGTAAAACACACACATGCACACACACACACACATACACACACACATCCATTTTTTCTGAGGTATGCCAAAATGTTCAGAAACCTTCAAAACGTGGAGAAATGCAAAAATTTTCAATTTCGATTTTTGGACGATTACTAGAACTACCCTACGGGAAGTTAGAAATCAACTACTGCTGGTGATAAATACAGTTTTAAGCTTTAGTTACCTCGACTTCTCGATCAAATCTTTGGCCAGTGGTTTGAATGGCTCCACTAGTCTTTCCAATGGAAAATAAATCTGTAGGATTTAAAATCCGGAATTCCACGTGTTCATTCAAGGCTGCTCCGATGACATCAACTACACAAACTGTAGCTACACGTGTTGAATTTTCAACAATAGAACCTAAAAACATAATGGAATTAGACATAATACTAAAGACTGATGTTGGTTTTGTAAGGTACCTTCGTAAACATGTTTTCTAAACATAAGTCCACCATTCTGAGCATCCTTAACCTTGACAAAAACCCTGGCAACACTAGAAAAACTACCATCAGATACCCTGACTCGTAAATTGTATTTATCCTGGAAGTTATCAGCACGTTTTGTGGTGATCACTCCTGTCTTCAAATTGATCTCAAAAGCTTCAGTTTCATCACCATCTATTATATCGTAACGTAAGGATTCTGTAGTATCAGGATCAAAAGCTTTTACTGATGTCACCACAATGTTTTTGAAAGTTGGGAGCAACAAAGTTACATTGTAGTGAGATTTGGAAAAAACTGGTGGACTGTCGTTGACGTCGTTGACGTTGATGATGACTTCTGCAGTTGATTCGGAGGATAGACGGGGTTTACCTAGATCAGTAACCTGGGGAAAAAATATACACACATTATTCAGTCCTTGCTGGATCTAGTGTTTAAGTCCTTTACCTTGACGTGGAAGTGGAATTTGGGTATGGTCTCGTAATCCAAAGTCCTTGTAGTCTGTATTGCACCAGTGCCAGGATCAATTTTAAAGTATTGTTTAGGCAGTTGTTCCAAAATCTCGTACTGCAACAAAGCATTTGGACCAGAATCCAAGTCTCTTGCTCGTATCACCAAAGGTGCTGTTAAGTTTGTTAAAACTTGTGCACCGGCGTCACTGGACTCCGACACAAAACCTGGATAAAAACAAGATATAAGGGTTTATACAAAAACCTACATTTCAAAAAACCGGTTTTCGAATTTTAATTTTACTAAAAAACCGGTTTTCGAATTTTATATAGAAAATAAATTTTTACTCGAATATTCTGTAATTTATCCGCAAATTTAGTGTAATTTAGGGCAGTATTTGACTGAATTTATTTATTGTTCAATTTTATAGATGATAAACAAAATTATTTTAATTTTGATTAGTAGAACTAAAAAATAATAGTTTATCTTGATTAAATAACTTTGAAAACAATTATTCGTTTTTCATGCATCATTTTCACATATAAGAATAAAAGTATTTTTATGATAGTGAAAGGAAAGTTTTCGAATAAATGAAAATACTTAATTTTTAAATAAAACAAAAATATTAAATAAAAAAATAACTAGTGGGGTGTATGGCATCGTGCCTTAAGGCAAATTGCTGGAACTTTCCGTACCGTAACAAAATGTTCGAGGAATACTGAATGTTTTCAAATAGATTATTATTAATATTGTAACATTGTCTAATATTTATAAAAATTATATAAACTGAATTGCAAAGTTGAAATTATTTGTTTACAATATATTAGAACTATAGTCAAAATTAAAAATAAAATCAGAATTATTTTCGATATACAAAAATTTTAAAAAAAAAAAGTCGAAACAAAATTTTTTTTCCCAAATTCAATTATTTTGTTAAGACAAGCAGAAAGTTCTTGGAATCATTTCAATCGGACGCTTAGTTCTCTCAAAAACTGCCATTTTTCACATATTTAGCTCCGTATCTTCGAAATGGCTAGATCTGCCTTTGCCAAAAACTAATTCACACTTCTCCCAATCATTACTAATTGAATGTTTTTTTAGATCATTCACAACGGATGCTCCGTTCTCTCAAAAACTCGATTTCTATTTTCTGCACTCTTTGCTCTTTATCTCCGTAACTGCTGGACCTGCCTTTGCCAAAAACTAATCAGCACATCTCCTTATCAATAGGAATCGAATGTTTTTTGAACCATTCAAATCGGTTGATCCGTGCGCTTTAAAACGTGACCGAAAAATTGTATTCACACACACACATCCATTTAGTTTCTGAGGTATGCTCCTTAAAAATGTTCAGAAACCTTCAAAACGTCGAGAAAAGCAAAAATTTTCATTCTCGATTTTCGGCCCATTACAATAATTTCCCGAAGGGAAAGATTAGATACATGTTTATACATACTTGTTAATATCAATTTTATATTTGAAAACAATTAAGCTAAACTTTTATTTCTCTTCCGAGCAATTTTAATTAATTAATTTTAAACATTCTAATTGTTTTTTGTTTAATGAAATATGATTTAAAAAAACTGAGAACGTCTATCGAATTGCTACTTAGACGTGCTCTTTGTTTACTCATAAAATTTCCTGAAATAGAAAATACTCTCATACTTGCGACCACATTATGCTTAATTGTTTTTAAAGCCTGATATAATAATTCTAGGTGTTTTGTTCTTTAATTTGTGGCTTCTAGGGTTTAAAACTCTTTTTTTAAGTTTGAGTAGAGGAAGTTACTTCTTCAAGAAGAAGTCACACTGATTTAAATTAATACATACACTGGTATAAAAATCTAAATTAATATATACAAAACTTTTCTGGGAACCATTGCAGACTGATAAGATATCAAATGCTATTGAACCGATATGATTTCAAGAATCAAAACGCTTTCATCCATCTTTTATATTTGGCTATATTTGTCATTTTCGATTTATACAGTGAAAACCGACTTTTTTCACTTAAAAACCGGTTTTTGAATTCCATAATTTTCGCCAAAAAAACGGTTTTTGAAAACCGACAAACCCTAATAAGCATCAACATTTATCATTTATAATGTGTCAATTATCCCTTACCTGTATAATTATTTAGTTCAAAGTAAGGTGCGTTGTCGTTTTTATCCAAAACATGGATTAAGACAAAAATTTCAGCTTCAGCTCCTGTCATGCTTCTGGCAGTTACTGTCAAATTGTAGGCTTGTTTGGTTTCGTAGTCCAAAGGTAGTGCAGTGGTTCGCAAAATACCAGTCGAAGGATTTATATCAAAGCAACCATTGTCGTTACCATTTTTAATTTCGTAAATCAGGGAAGATGAAGCTCGTGCGTTCAAGTGCAACACGTAGTTACCTGGTTGTGTGTTTTCGAAGACTTCAGCTGATGGATTTGTATCCAAAAATCTGGCAAATAGACATAGATGTAAGTAATGTTCAGAAATGCATTGGAAAAGTTTTGTCTTACCTTGGTGGTGCATTATCAGCCATAGTGACCATCACGTGCAAAGGAATTGTGGTGACCAAAGGAGGATTTCCAAATCTTGTGCTCGTAGTTGTAGCATATATTCGGATGCTGAATTGATGTCTAAACCACGGGCTACACGTACATCACCGAACATTGGATCGATGGTAAAAGCATTTCCAACATTACCTACAACATAATGTATAATGATGTGTAATATTGTTAAATAAATTATAAACAAAATATGGCAAAATATAAATAAAGTACACTGTGGTAAAATTAGTACAGGTGTATACAATCCTAAAATTTCAAGAATTTTTTCCAAATAATTTTGTTCCAAAAGTTCAAAAATGTCGTATACAGTTCTTTAGGCCATTAAATATACTATTTAATGATGTACAATAGTTTATAGGTTCTTGAATAAATTATTAACAAAATTTGGTAAAATGTAAACCAACCACTCTCAATTAACTGTGTATAAATATGGCTAAGTCAGTACTGGCTACAATATACAATCCTAAACTTTCAAGATTTTTTTCCAAATTATTTTGTTCCAAAAGTTCAAAAACGTTGTATACAGTTCTTTAGGCTATTGAATAAACTATTTAATGATGTACAATAGTTTATAGGTTGTTGAATAAATTATTAACAAAATATGGCAAAATATAAACACACTACATTCAATTAACTGTGTATAAATATGGCTAAGTCAGTACTGGCTAAAAAATGACTTAACTGACTAGTAAAAATATTAATGAAAAATGTTTTGAAAATACTTTACTGACGAGCAAAAATTATTAAAAAAATATGTTTTAAAAAAAGTTCTTCTTAATTTCCAAGATTTCAAATTGCTGGTCTCGTCAATAGAGTCCTTTTTTACATTTTGTTTATTAATTGTAAACAAGCAAAAAAGAATCTACTGTCGAGCAGAAAAATGTTTTGAAAAAAGACTCTAATGACAAAAAATTTTTAAAAAGACTGTAAAAAGGACTCTACTGACAAGCAAAAATTATAAAAAAATGTATGGAAAAAGACTCTACTGACGAGAAAAAATATTTAAAAAATGACTGGAAAATGTAGAGCCAAGTTATCGAAAAATGTTTCAAAAAATGACCTTACGGTCGAGCAAATTCGAAAAAGGACTCTACTGCAAATGTGTGAAAAATATTTAAAAAAGGGTTGAAAAAAATGACTACTGACAATATAAATAAAATAAAAAATGACTGGAAAAAGGACTCTACTGACTAACTAAATTTATCAGAGATAATGTTTTGAAAAAAAGACTCTACTGACAAAAATGAGAAATTGGACTCTACTAACGAGCATAAATTATCAAAAATATTACAAAAAATAAGTTTGAAAAAAACGGCTCTACTGCAAAAATTAGCAATAAAATATGTTTTGGAAACAGGACTCTACTAATGAGCAAAAATTATCAACAAAAATATTTTAAAAAAAGAACTCTGCTAACGAGAAAAAATCTTAAAAAAAAATTACTCCAAAAATGACTCTCCTGACGAGCAAAAATGATTAAAAAATGATGTTTTAAAAAAAGGACTTTACTGACAATCAAAAATATTAAAAAAATGACTAAAAATGACTTTACTAACGAGTTAAAATTATCAAAAAAATAGGGAGTGGACTTTACTGACGAGCAAAAATTATCGAAAAAAACATGCTTTAAAAAGGACTCTACTGACGATTTGTAGACTTTGAAATTCACCAAAAAAATGTTTGGGTAAAGGGACTCTACTGACAAGCAAACTAAAGTTTTATATATAATAAAAATAATAAAATAACAAAAAGAGACTCTACTGACAAGCAAACTAAGTTTTTTTTCGAAAAACATAAGGGACTGTACTGACGAGCAAACTGAAAAGAAAAGATACAGGTCTCTATTTCAATTTTTGGCCATTTAGTTTAAAATTTAAATTAAATAATTTAAAATTTAATTGTACATTCTTGAAAAATGATATTTGAATATACTTCGAAATACTTTGAAAATATGTCAAAATATAAATAAAGTACACTAAAACTATATATGTGGTAAAATTAGTACCGGTGTATAAAATCCCAAACTTTCAGAAATTTTTTCCAAATAATTTTGTTCTAAAAGTTCTAAAATGCTGTATACAGTTTTTTAGGCTATTCAATAAACTATTTAATGACGTACAATAGTTTATAGGTTGTTGATTAAATTATTAACAAAATATGGCAAAATATAAACAAAGTACGCCCAATTAACTGTGTATGAATATGGCTAAGTCAGTACTGGCGTATACAATCCTAAACATTCAGGAATTTTTTACAAATAATTTTGTTCCAAAAGTTCAAAAATGATGTATACAGTTCTTTCGGGTATTTGATAAACTATTTAATGATGTACAATAGTTTATAGGTTGGTGAATAAATTCTTAACAAAATTTGGCAAAATATAAACAAAACTACACTCAATTAACTGTGTATAAATATGGCTAAGTAAGTACTGGCGTATACAATCCTAAACTTTCAAGAATTTTTTCTAAATAATTTTGTTCCAAAAGTTCAAAAATGTTGTATACAGTTCTTTAGGTTCTTCAATAAACTATTTATTGATGTACAATAGTTTATAGGTTGTTGAATAAATTATTAATAAAATTTGGCACACTCAATTAACTGTGTATAAATATGGCTAAGTCAGTACTGGCGTATACAATCCTAAACTTTCAAGAATTTTTTCCAAATGATTTTGTTCCAAAAGTTCAAAAATGTTACATACAGTTCTTTAGGCTATTCAATATACTATTTAATGATTTTCAATAGTTTATAGGTTGTTGAATAAATTATTAACAAAATTTGGCAAAATATAATCAAACCACACTCAATTAACTGTGTATAGATATGGCTAAGTCAGTACTGGGGTATACAATCCTAAACTTTCAAGAATCTTTTCCAAATAATTTTGTTCCAAAAGTTCAAAAATGTTGTATACAGTTCTTTAGGCTATTTAATAAACTATTTAATGGTGTACAATAGTTTATAGGTTGTTGAATAAATTATTAACAAAATTTGGCACAATGAATTAACTGGGTATAAATAAGGCTAAGTCAGTACTGGCGTATACAATGCTAAACTTTCAAGAATTTTTTCCAAATAATTTTGTTCCAAAAGTTCAAAAATGTTGTATACAGTTTTTTAGGCTATTTAACAAACTATTTAATGGTGTACAATAGTTTATAGGTTGTTGAATAAATTATTAACAAAATTTGACAAACTATACTCAATTAACTATGTATAAATATGGCTAAGTCAGTACCGGCGTATACAATCCTAAACTTTCAAGAATTTTGTACAAATAATTTTGTTCCAAAAGTTCAAAAATGTTGTATACAGTTCTTTAGGATATTCAATAAACTATTTGATGATGTACAATAGTTTATAGGTTGTTGAATAAATTATTAACAAAATTTGGCACAATGAATTAACTAGGTATAAATATGGCTAAGTCAGTACCGGCGTATACAATACTAAACTTTCAAGAATTTTTTCCAAATAATTTTGTTCCAAAAGTTCAAAAATGTTATATACAGTTCTTTAGGCTATTTAATAAACTATTTAATGATGTACAATAGTTTATATGTTTGTGAATAAATTATCATCGAAATAAAACAAAATATAAACAAAGTATAAGTACCAAGTTGGCTACACTCAATTAACTGTGTATAAATATGGCTAAGTCAGTACTGGCGTATACAATCCTAAACTTTCAAGAATTTTTTCCAAATAATTTTGTTACAAAAGTTCAAAAACGTTGTATACAGTTCTTTAGGCTATTTAATAAACTATTTAATGATGTACAATAGTTTATAGGTTATTGAATAAATTATTAACAAAATTTGGCACAACACTCAATTAACTGTGTATAAATATGGCTAAGTCAGTATTGACGTATACAATCCTAAACATTCAAGAATTTTTTAAAAATAATTTTGTTCAAAAAGTTCAGAAATGTTGTATACAGTTCTTTAGGCTATTTAATAAACTATTTAATGACGTGCAATTGTTTATAGATTGTTGAATAAATTATTAACAAAATTTGCCAAAACAAAATGCACTCAGTTAAATGTATATAAATATGGCTAAGTCAGTACGGGCGTATACAATCCTAAACTTTCAAGAATTTTTTCCAAATAATTTTGTTCCAAAAGTTCAAAAATGTTGTATACAGTTATTTAGGCTATTTAATAAACCATTTAATGATGTACTATAGTTTATAGGTTGCTGAATAATTTATTAACAAAATTTGGCAAAATATAAACACACTACACGTACCAAGTTGGAAAAAGTCAATGTTTTACTTGTCTACTTACCGCTGACGATACTATAGGCAACTCTGGCGTTTTCGCCCTTATCCCTATCAGCAGCCCTGGCCCTGGCAACAAGACTGCCAGTTGCTGCAGTTTCATGACATGCAGCTTGTAACAAACGAGCCCCAAAATCAGGGGAATGATCATTACGATCGTGTACTTTTATCAAAATCCTGGCTGCATCCCTTCTTGAAGGAGCACCATGGTCACGAACAGACACTGTCAGGAGATGACTTTCTGCAGTTTCCCTAAGAATAAAAGACATATGAAATGTGCCCTGAGATGCACTCAAAATATTATCTTTACCTTACCTTAAGGTAAGGAATATTAATCTTGAACAAAAGTCTGCTAGTTTTTCTCACCTGTCCAGTTTTCCTGCCAACGTTACTGCACCAGTAAGACTATCGATTCGGAATAATTTACCATCAGCAGGACTTCTGGATCCTTGCAGGCTGTAAAATAATTTATCACCATCAGCATCACTTGCTGATAATCTCAAAACTTCTGTCCCAGAAGGAAGACCTTCAGAAACTTGCACCGAGTATTGAGATTCGCTGAACAATGGACGGTTGTCGTTGATGTCTATTACTGTCACAAATAGCTAAAAAAATAAATAAATTGGTAATGGTTGTTAATAAAAATTGATAGTTGATTGATTGATAGTTGATTGATTTTTTACCTGTGTGTGTACTGTAGAAAGTCCATCAGTAACTGCAATGGTCAAA